AGTGGTGGACTTACTGGTATGTTTAGGATCATTGTCCTGCTGCAGAACCCAAGTTCGTTTCAGCTTGAGTCACAAACAGATGGTCGGACATTCTCCTTCAGGATCTTTTGGTAGATAGCAGAATTCATAGTTCCATTTATCACAGCAAGTCTTCCAGGTCCTGACGCAGMAAAMCAGYCCCAGACCATCACACTACCACCACCATATTTTACTGTTGGTATAATGTTCTTTTTTCTGAAATGCAGTGTTCTTTTTACGCCAGATGTAATGGGACACACACCTTCCAAAGAGTTCCACTTTTGTCTCATCGGTCCACATAATGTTTTCCCAAAAGTCTTGGGGATCATCAAGATGCGTTTTGGAAAAATTGAGACGAGCTTTAATGTTCTTTTTGCTCAGCAGTGGTTTTCTTCTTGGAACTCTGCCATGCAGGCCATTTTTGCCCAGTCTTTTTCTGATGGTGGAGGCATGAACGCTGACCTTAACTGAGGCAAGTGAGGCCTGCAGTTCTTTGGACGTTGTTGTGGGGTCTTTTGTGACCTCTTGGATGAGTCGCCGCTGCGCTCTTGGGGTAATTTTGGGCGGCCGGCCACTCCTGGGAAGGTTCACCACTGTTCCATGTCTTCGCCATTTGTGGATAATGGCTCTCACAGTGGTTCGTTGGATTCCCAAATCTTTGGAAATGGCTTTATAACCCTTTCCAGACTGATAGATCTTAATTACTRTCTTTCTCAATTGTTCCTGAATTTCTTTGGATCTCGGCATGMTGTGTAGCTTTTAAGGATCTTTTGGTGGACTTCACTGTGTCAGGCAGCTTCTATTTAAGTGATGTCTTGATTGAAAACAGGTGTGGCAATAATCAGGCCTGGGTGTGGCTAGAGAAATTGAACTCAGGTGTTAAAAACCACAGTTATAGTATATTTTAACAAGGGGGCAATCACTTTTTCACACAGGGCCATGATGGTTTGGATTTTTTTCTCCTTTAATAATAAACACCTTCATTTACAAATTGCATTGTGTGTTTACTTGTGTTGTCCTTGAATATTGTTTAAATTGGTTTGATGTTCCGAAACACATAAGTGTGACAAACATGCAAAAAAAAACAGCAAATGAGGAGGGGGCAAACACTTTTTCACACCACTGTATATGGGTGGGGGGTGGGGGGGGGCTATAAATTAAGAGGAGAGTTCAAATTTACAAAACAAAGCGTGCAAACCACAAGGAAAAGTATGTGTGTGTCTGTGTGTGGGGTGTATTAATGGAATTGATTAAATGTTGAACTGAAGCAATGTAAACTTAGAAATCAGTTTAAAAAAAGATACAAAAAATTATTTTGAGTTGTTATTTGGTCGATGTTGATGGTATTTAGAGATTAAGTGAAACTCTGGGGTGTTAAATAAGCTGTTATTGTTAAGTTTTGCTGTAAATGAGATAGCTATGTTTAGGGGTGCAACAATACATGTACCCGTATCGAACCGTTCAATACAGTGCTTTAGGTTCAATACACACTTGTATCGAACAATAGAGTTTTAAAATTAATTTTATCAACTTGTCTTCTGATGATGCTCTGTGTTGAAGGATCAGTGGATCTGTGTTCGACTACTCCACCTAGGCTGCATTGTYGAGCACAGATCCACTGAGAAACTCGCTGTTTCAGCAACATTTAATTTAAAAACTGTACAAATATATTACAACTTAAAAAAGGGCATGGACAATTCTCTTTTCTTGTATCGAGAAAATATCAAACCGTGAGACTAAAATATTGAACCGAACCGAATCGTGAATTTTCTGCACGCCTGTGTATGTAAAATCAGAAGGTTCACAACAATAAAAATTAAGACAATAAAACTTTTTTGAAGAGTAAGAAAGGGGTAGGAAAATACAAATCTTTACTTCAACCTACTCCTTTTCAGTACAGATGGTCTTATAAGCTGCCCAACACAAAAATTCATGGATGTGTATGTGGATATATACACATTTTTGTTTGTTTGTTTTATCCGTTTTTGAAATAGTTATTTCATTCATTCATTCATTCATTCATTCATATATATATATATATATATATATATATATATATTCCAACCACTTAAGTTCTGACTCTGCCTACATATTGTCAGTGATGCTTGATGTAAGAAAATACAGCTTTTAAAGGAAAGCCCATCTTTTATCAACTTGCAATAGAAGTTTTCAATACAAGTTCATGATCTTTGTATTTGTAGATCAAGGCCATGTTGTGTTGGACATGTAATAATGAAACCCCGCCAAATTATCTTGGGACACGAGAACAGAAAAAGAAAAGGCCAAATCCCATGTATTCCCAAACCATGGATGCGCCTTTCTTGTGCGAAATGCAACCAGACACAAACTAAACACTGTGATAAAAGCTCAGGAAATTACTTCCTTATTTTAGATGTGATTGATTGTCCCCCTGACCTGCTAGACTGAAGAGGTGGTTAAAAAGCAGAGGCAGACTAAGATAATTGGGCCCAGTGGTATCCAAGGCCCGGCAGGTGTTGAAAGAAGTCTCGTAACGCAGGTACCAGCAGCGACTGCAGCCCTGAACCTTCAGCACACCTAGGATTTGACTACCTTGGAGGAATTTTGGTGTTTTGTGTTTGGCATGTCTTTTATTGAATAGGTGAAATATGAGATGCTCACAACTTCTATTGATGTATTGGACGCGCCATGGAAGAACGATAAACAGGTGTCAAAAAATACGGTACTCTGTCAACAAATAGAGCGTTTTTGTTTAATCTTTTCTTGGCATGAAAACAATGTCATTCAGTCTTTAAAAGTGATGTCAGCTGTTGGAAACGTTTCTCCAGTACAAGAGGGATGTAATTCCCTTACCTGTTGAAAGTAGGTAAAAGCACACACCATCAGCAGAAGGATCAGGGATGGAATTTTGTTGAAGAGAAAAGGCACAGATGTTTTCGCTCTTTAATTTCATTAGTGAATCATAAGGCTATCCGAGTCCTTCTAGCCATTTCAAATGAAGAGGTAAAAGCCAGACACGAGCTTTAATGATAACATTCTTTTTAAGAGAAAAATATGCATGTACTACCCCCCTTACCATTATCTGCAAGCCAAGGGCTCTGTTCCAATTAAAGACGACCACAAATGGACCATTCAACATGCATGCACACAAACGAACCTACAATAGGTACAGTAAAGTACCCAGTATTGCAGAGCCCAGAGAAGAGCTTTTTACTTTAAAAACTATTTAATCAGGAAAATCAACGCCTCACATCAAAGAAACGGAGTTGAGGGACAGGCGGATAAAGAGGCTCATCAAAGAAGGAGATCTAGTTAGGGATTCAACGCCCTAATTCTCTTTCTCTTAAAACCATCGTCAGAGGGGGCACCGGGCCAATTTGCTCCCTAAATGGCTGCGTGTGAATGTGCAGATTGCTTTGCATAGCCGCTGGGAATGTGGGCTTCTTCCTTTTTCTTCTCCACACGGAGCCTGCGAATTAGAAAAGATCCAAAGACAGATAGGCTTAACTGAGCCCTAGCTACCTTCCTTAAGTCCAGAACTCTGTTCCAACTTCCAACTAATTTAATACATGTCCTAACTCAATTAATAGACTTTAATGCAGTGTTTCTTCTTTATCTCTTCTCTTTCCTGGGGATTGGGGACTTCAATTAGAGYTGCAGAGTAATATCAGCAAAAAGGTTTGGATTTTAAGTCTGTCTGAATGTTAAGACAATGACATGTCCCAGAGGCATTAAGGTTGATCATATATGCATCCTTAATCTCAAACATCTCCCTAATCTCACTTTCTGGGACTTGTCTCACATTAATGTAATGTAGTGCATAAAATATTGACAACCGGTCTTTCCCGTCTTGGGCTTTATATGCATTAGAGTTGAATTCATTAGTCAAAATGTCCTTGATGTGAAAGGAGACCTTTAAGAGTCCACATGATGAGTCTCGTGTTTTTTTTATACATTTGTTAACCCAATCATTATCTAGGATTTTAACACTCACCTCTAAACCATAGGGGGGCTATTTAAGTACTTCTATAGGTGTTTTAAATTATACCATTGATTGATGTTGGCCTTGATCTGTCCTAAAGCACATAAACTGTAGAGAACTGCAGAAGTTCTAGGACAAATAAAGATTATTTTGGTCAGTAACATAAATAATTTAGAATCATTTCTATTAGTGCAACCATGCAGTATTTGCAATACTCATACACCTCACACATTTCATATTATATCCTCTACACAACCAACAAATACATTAATCTCATCTGAGAGAAAAGAACAAAAAAAATCATGTTTGTCTGTCTGAGCTGTTAGATCTGAGACCAGCTTCCCCCCTCAATCAGCTCTCTATCACGCCTGCAGTTCCAATTGATCGCCTTAGCAATCAGCAATTAAGTACTAGTGATCAGAGCGGGGGGAAAAAAGTAGAAGGGGTGGGATGAGGAGGTGGGAAACCACAGCCCGCCCCCCATCCCTCTGCATCCCACTCCTCTCTTGTCAGCCGAGGAAAGGCTTCACTCAGCTGGGGTGAGTTTGGCCTGGGGCTGGGCTCACTGGTGGAGGTTAACTCCAGCATAAATAAGCATCTTTGGACTCATTACAGGGATTAGAGAGTAATTCGCCTGCGAGGAAGGAGACGACTGCCAGGGTTTTGGTACAGTTTACTACAGTCTTATAGGAGCGAGGGCCCTTGAGATTACAGAGGGAGAGAGATGGAAAGGCAGCAAAAGAGAGAAAGGCCAAGGGAAAAGAGAGGATGGCTGTCAAGTGTGTGTGAGTCAATCCAAGCCCCCGGCTGCCCCCTTGATCTCGAGCATGTTGGGGTGCTGTGAAAATGGATAATGGGAGTTAGAACGACCAGGCCTGTCTAGAGAGAACTGTGCTGATTGTTATAACTTTCCCTCATTGCTCTCTCCTCCACTTAACTAAATAAACACCCAAGAGGTAGCACTCTATCAATTTTAATGATGTTGAAATACAATTTAGGCACAAAAACACACAACAAATGCTAATTTGGCCATGATGAGAGGCATCAGGAATTCCTCCCATTATTTATTCAGCTGACTTTCTGCATTTTTCATCAGAACAAATATTCCCATTTCAACAAACACACACAAACACGCGCACCATCACAGAGCCAATTTGGAGCATAAATCAACACGTTCGCTCATCAAATATATGCTCTCACTGGTTCTCTGCAGTCTGTCCAGTGCACCAAAGACAAATAGTTCTATCCAAAGTCCAGCCAGAGAAACAGAGGGCACAGAAGACTGTCAATATATGCACACATACATTAAACATAGCAGACCGGTGTGTGCTCGGAAAAGACAGAAAAGTTTATTCATACACTCAACCATGACTAAATCTTTCAAAACAGAGCAAACAAAAGAAAACCTAGAATTAATTATTTTATCATTTAATTTAAATTCAACATTAACGTGTTTCTTAACTCTCAATTGACAGTTTCTGCTTAATAGTACGTTCTCATCAGCTGTCCACAACCTGAACGTCCATCTTGACCACCTCCAGTGTTCCTGCCTCAGCCCCACATTTGGGGCAGGTAAGGTAAGCGTCTGCGATGCTGTGACTTTTGATGCAGTAATAACAAAAAACGTGCTGGCAGCCCACTGTATGAGGCATAGTAGGCCACTCCCCGCACAGTCCACACTCTTTCCACACTTCTTTATGTTCRCTTGCTCCTTCCTCGTGTGAACGTTTCCCCCCGAACACAAACGAAAACATAGCAGCTTTCAGTTTTCTTGCGTTGATCAGCGGCAACAGGAAGATGAGAAACTCGGCAAAGCCGTGCCACAGCAGTTCTCTGTTCATGTATTGGTAGGTTACGTCCCTGACTACGTTGGGTTTGCTAAAAACCGCCCGAGCTCCTGAAATTCTTTCGGATAGAACAGGATGACGGCCGTTCCTCAGAAAAACAAGGAAGTTGATGACACTTGCTAATTTTATGAAACCAGAAACCAGGGTCAGGGCGTTGCGGACTCTCTGCCGGAGCAAACTATCATCTCTTTCAGACGGAGCTCCTCTAAAACTCAATCCCAAGCAGGGMAGGAGGCGCAGCGATCGCTCCTGGAGCCAACTGGGACCTGCCGTGAGGATGGCCAGTCCCAACTTTTGCCCGGAGGACAGAGGCCTGTACTGCAGAGATGGCGCAGAGGTGCTGTGATAGCGCAGGCTCAGTAAAGACTGGCCCACCGTGGCACTGTTGGAATACAGAGTGAATCTCCACAGCAGCAAATAAAGCAAAGCTTTCAGTTCGGGCTCCGCGGGAGTGAGGAGGCCTGGGCGACAGTTCTGGAAGCACTGAGCGAACTGTGTCCAAAGCAGTTGCTCAAGGCTCGAGTCTAGCTCAAGGGCGTCCAGCTGGCTGATACGTAGCACCGGGGTCTGCGGGGCGTCCGGAGGACCTGGAGCCGTTCTTTTCGGGTTGTTTGCTTTTTCCAAACCTGTTGGTTGAAACATCAACAAGAACATAAAAATATTATTCATACATTCAGAATTTGKATGATTCGTTAAATACACACTAAAGACAGAAAGAGTGGCTGTGCTCTTTTGGTAGCTTGATTTTGTTTAGGGGGAGACGATGTTTTAAAGGGGCAATATCATGTAAAATCAACTTTTTTGAGTTTTATATCATAATTATTTACATTATAATTATAATGTTAAACACTCATAAAAAATTGTCCAAAGCCTTGCTTTGACTCATTCATGCATGTTTGAGAAATCCTGCATCGTTTTTAGGAAGACATGCTGAGGAGCAAAACGACAGGTGGGGACCAGAAACGCTCCTGGGACATGTCTTTAAGCCGAACTTCCTCATGGCAGAGCGCATCCCCTCCCCCCCTCCCCACACACCCCACCCA